TTCAAAGACGAAAATATAATAACAAAATAATGACCGCAGGTTTTTGAAACAATTTGATAAGCGGTAAAACAAACACTAAATAGCTCGATCATTGCCAGAGAAGCATAATTCAGTATAGTTTATGTTCTGTTTTTAAGCTGGTTGCTCAGCCAATCAAGACCCTCATAGAGACCATCACCAGAAGTTGCGCACGTCGCTTGAATATACCAATTACGGTTGCGCAATGTATGTAGACCAAGTTTATCAGTTACTTCAGCAGCGTTCATTGCATTTGGCAAATCCTGAAATTCGTTCATGCAAAATACTCGACAAGACATACTAGTGAATCATTCTGTCTGGTTCATAACAAGGAAAGCTGCACAGAAGGAAAAAAACCACCAAATTATTAGCTCTTATATTATTTACCTGTTTATTAGCAAAAACAAGAAGTACTGCATCTCGTAGTTCATCTTCAGCTAGCATCCTCATCAATTCTTCTCGCGCCTCTCCAACACGCTCCCTATCGTTACTGTCCACAACAAATATCAAACCTTAATAAACAAAGACTCATATCGATGCAACTGCTCAGAAAGAAAAATTCTGCTGTTAAAAGCTTTTGAACATCAATCTGTTCAATGACTGTGAGAACAATTTCCAATATTAAAGAGTATACAGACTTCACTAGAATTTCCTCCTACAAATATTCGGAAGATGAAACGCACTCCAATTTCAACAATGAACCAATCAGAAATGGTAATCAAAAATCAAATGGCCTGAGCCGAAGATGGGAAGAAAATGTCGTGAATTCAGATAAACTTTTGTAAGTGAAAACTTAACCAAACTCATACGATGACAAAACTCTTTTAACACGACAGACTTTTGAAACTGCCAGAATCATCATTTGAATCTGGGCATGAGAACTTGATTACAAACCTTGCGTGTTCTGAAAATAATGTCGCCAGAGCGGACGAATTTTATCCTGTCCTCCAACATCCCATACCGTAAAAGATATATTTTTATATTCTACCGTTTCAACATTGAAACCTGAAAAAAAAACCTTGAATAATAAGACTGATCAACTGGAAGAGTTATGTTATCAACAATTCTCACTATAGCCGAACTATGTGAATCACACCGCAGTAGTAAAACCGGAAAACGCGGTACTTCAGACGTAATTTAGCATCTTCATTGAAAAAATGTAAGAGACAACTATATATAAAACCATTCTGGCAAAACACGTAAGATATAGTGCAAGAATGTCCAAGAACAATTCCGTTGCGAATTAACCTTAATGCGAAAGATTCTACCCCTTAAATGGTACTTTTGAAATTAACCTCCCAAAAAAACGTAACACTGGTTAAATTTCCATCCTCCACAGTGGCACCTCTCAAAACTTGACTGTCAAGTTTGTGCAGTGCACTAAACTTAGAATATTGAACCTAAAGACAAGTGTCGCAATTCGAAACAATTCAGTGTCTTAAAAGAAACTCCACCGTTCAGTAGAGTAAAACAATGCAACATTCCTAGTACGGTAATGCGTACAGGTGATGCGCGAAAAAATGAATGAAACCTGTAAGAGGCCGACACGTAAACAATGCAACACGAATGAATGACGACTTTGTACGTCCTATTTTTGAATATCTTAGGAAAGCCATATTTCTGTGCATCAACTACGCGAAACTTATCAACAGAAAAAAAAAAATCATAAATGAAAAACAAAAACTTGAAGATAATATCTAATCCACTATTAAAAATCAGCTTTTTATATCAAATCTAAAATCATATTCGATGTAATTATAACAGAAGACGATTAATGTCATAAATAACACTACAGCAAAAAACCTAACCAATAGTCGGAATTGTCGTTACAATCTCTCCAAGTTTTAACTTATACAGAATAGTAGTTTTACCAGCTGCGTCTAAGCCGACCATTAAAATTCGCATTTCCTAAAACCCCACAGGGCTGTAACAAACGAAGGAGTTATTTTATACATCCGTAAACCTATGTAGTAACTGTTATACCACAGATTTACGGATGTATGTAGGAAACCAATGCAAACAAAACCGTAAATATGTAAACAAAATTAAAGAATCAACTTCATTACCTTTTTGCCGAAAAGACCTCGCAGGAGATTGCCAAAAATGTTACCCATGATCAACCGGCACAGAAAAACACTCCACAAGCGAAAAAACAACCCAAATTGGAAGGGCTGAAACTGTCAATTAGTTAAACAGTCATCATGGAAAAAAAAGCGTATATAACAGAGTATTCCCTCCGAATGCTGTGAAAAACAGTATTTGACATTCCAGCTAAAAGACTAATGCTTCACACAAAAGAAACAAAAATTAACAGGAATAGAAAAAAGGTATGAGGAAAAACAAAACTAGATACGGAGTTATTCCTTGACGGTCATATTTCCTGAACACTCGCTTCTTTCCTTCTCATTCTTTACAAAAAATAAAAAATAAAATAAAATAAAACCGTAAGCTGTGAAACAGCTACAGCATCACAACCTCAGATAACAGTTATGTAAAAGTTAACACAAATCAAACAATTCCAAAGAATTTTCACATAAACAAATATCACTGTCGCTACTTTTACAAAGGTACAAAAAACTTTACATTTCATTAAAATAGCCAATAACCTCAATGATAATTATTACTTTATAGACAATCCTAACTATAATAATTTTTCAAAAAAAGAAAAAAAATATCACTGCGTAGTCTGCAGACAACGACGACGATGACAACAAATGTACAAACGTTGAACTTTTGACGAGGTATTCACTGGAAAAACTGCTGACGCATGTGTGGGATGATGAAAGCATGATGAATATTGTTGATTTCGCTATATACTCAACCAAAAAAAAAAAAACATCAGTTGGGAGCCTCAAACAGTCTAGAGTATGTTACCCGTATATCAACTATGCTTGTATTTTCGGTTGATTTTACTGCAGTCAATGAACATTAACGATGTAATTTAAGTCTTTTCTTTCCAAAGCAATCAAAATAACTGCAGCAACGACAACAGCAACATCAGAATCACCAGTACCATCAACAACAGCAGTATAACTTGCAGAGAAAGAAAAAAGAAATAACACAAGAATCATCTGCAAGTCGACATTAACAAACAAGTAACAAACAAAAGCAATTTAATGAATATGTCAGTAGCTGATTCCGGGTAAACTGTGTGGAGTGGGGTGCAACGGGTTGGCTAAGGGGGATGATAAAACAAAACCGAACAACAAGCTTCTTTCTCAATGTGTGATCCGCTCGTTCAATTCAGGACAGAATTAAAATTTCCAATGACAAAAACGCAAAAAAGACGTTGTTTGCAAACGCACAGAACCATTTTGATCTTAGCCAAACACGTCAGCCAGATGGAATCATTTCATCATTTTCACTAAACTGAACATCAATTGATGATTGGCAGTTTTCCAAACTCATGTTTAAAATACTCTCGCCTTGTCCCTCGCGTTCTTCCTCGGCTTCTCTACCCCCTCCCTCAGGCCCTTGTATCCTTTCGTAATATACTGTTAGGGAGCTGGAGGGGGAGGAGAAGATCAAATATGAATCTAAGGGGTTCAGGAACTGGTACATTTGAACATTATCTGCAACTTCTTGTTTTATCCAATATCAGATTGCTAAAAGCATTTTTAAATGTCCTCTTTTTTGTTTTGTTTTGTTTTTGTTTTTTTTTTTTCGCTTTTAGCAAACATTGTTTGGTAAAAACTTTTTAACATTCCTTTATTTTTTGAATTCTTTCATTCGCTACTGTTGTTCTTGTTCTGTCATTAAAATATTTTCTAAAAATTGCTACTATTATGAAATTTTTTTTATATTGTAACTCGATTCTTCGATGCTTAAATAGTAATTCTCAATTTTATTTGTTTGCAAAAGAAAAATAGAAGGAAACTGAAAATGTGTTTTTCTATCTCATTTATTTAGGTCACTGACTGTATGTCTGATTTTGAAGGACCAAGTAATACCAAATATGCACGATATGATGATGGGGAGAGCATACCAGGTGAAGAAGAAGAAGATTGTGGAACGGAAGGCTTTGGAACTGAATATAAATCTAAACATACCTTGGACAGCGATGAAGAAGAAGATATTAAGTACAAGAAGCTGGATATCTCAAAGGCCAGTTGAAGCTGCTACTTTGTTTTCTAGTGTGAATAGATTTTTTTTGTTCAGATTTAAGTGGTAGTTCGCTTCTGTCCAAGTAACCTGAAATCAGTAGAGTAACAAAGTATAGCTGCTTGGGAAGAATCTTGTATTTGTTTCCGATAATCAGTTTGTTCCAGTAATCGTTTCGTCTAGAATTCTTTACTACGTTTGTTGAGAGGAAGCGTTTTTATTTTTTCTCGTTTTCTTGGAAGTAACTCAGGCTTTACAGTCGCACTGCCTGTCTCAGAGTAGAGTCAAATGAAGTGTCTCAAGTCTTTACGCAGCTATCAAGTTCTTGTCAATTTTCTATTTTTTTGCACATTTATATTGAAAGCGTTTCGTGATTAGCTGCCATTTCACGCTGTTTTAGATCGCTTGCCTACCTTAAGAATTCCATTCATTAGTTTTTCTATTTTAAGCTTCCCAAACTAGACAGCAGTCTAGGTCTAGAATTAATTGGGTTCTGCAAATGGATTTTTGGTGGTGGTCAAATTCTTTGTTTTTTCTAGGTAGAAGGCCAGGAAGAGGTGGATGATGAGGTTAAAGAGGAATCAAACATAATGGCATTTAATATGAAAGAAGACTTGGAAGAGGGTCACTTCGATTCGGAAGGAAATTTTATTTATGACAAGGTGATGTATTGAATTGATGACTTTCTAAATGATGTACGACTTACTGGAAACTTTCCTCCAAGACCCTGTATAGGCAGGTTTTTTTTCTGATGCAGCACAGTGTAATTTTTTTAGAAAGAGAAAGAAATCAAGGATGCGTGGCTGGATAACATAGATTGGAGAGGTGTAAAAAATGTTTCAAGTGGTCAGTGGAGCAAGTCGGAGGTAACTGTGCAAGTATTTTTTGGATAATTTAATTATTTTTCTGCTCTTTGTAGTTGGCCTTCAGAGTTGTGTGAGTGGAGTGGTTTCTTTCTGAGATTCAAACCAGTTGTTTTTGCTTCATTTTTCCGACATTTAAACTTTATCGAGTGGTAAAGTATCTATTATAAATTTGTATTGGCAGTGTTTTTTCTGCTGTAATGATGGTACTAATAATACTCTGTGGTGATTAATTTTGTCTACTTTAATTAAAATTATGTCCTAGGATGATGATGCGGTACAAAAGGAGTTGTCTGATGAGCAACTGAAAGAAGTGTACGAAAAGATAGTTTCACTGTTGAAACCTGGAGAGACTGTTGAAAAGGCTTTGCGGCGTCTTGGGAAACAAAAAGGTAGATCAGATGACTTTATTTTTAGATTTTGTGAGTAATATGAAGATAAATTTTACATAAAACTGCCCAACCAACAATCTTTTGTAATTTTTTGGTAGGGGAGTAAAAGCAATTTCGTCGTTTTTATAATTTTGAGAGATTTGTTGTTAAATGCCAGTCATTCTGTATATTTCTGTTTACTATCAATTTTTCAAGGGAAGATTTTGAATGCTGTGATTAGTGAATTTGACAGTTTATAATGGTTCAAAAATTAGCATTAATTTTTTTTTTTTGGAGTTAGATCCATGGTTTACATATCTTAAAGTATTACTTTTGGTCTTTTGATCTGAAGTGTTCTGGACCTTCGTTAGTTTCTTCCTCTATAAAAAGATTTCCTGTAATTGACTTGAATCAAGGTGTTAGTGCCGCAGAGGAAAGGAAACGTCGTTGGGAAGCAAAGAAGAAAGGAGTCGAGTATGTTGATGAAGGGGGAAATGCAATGAAGGAATTAACTGGTCTTGCTGATTCTTTGGTTTCCCGAGGTGAAATGGAGGCGTATCAGTATACTGTTGAAAAACTCCAGTATCTACTTCGGCAGATGGAGCACAAAGCTGTTGATAACCTGGATATTTTTTCTGATCAGCCCTCGTCTGCTACATCATCTAGTTCGTTTAAGCTAAAGTTTTTTTCTCTTTGTAAAATATAAATTTTATGTGCATTTGTCTTACTGGAGGTTTATTTTAGATGCTGTTGAGACAAACACGGGTAGTGCTAATCCTGCGACGGATGTTAGTTGGGAGTACAAAAAATCTGGTGATAACGAGGCAGAAATTATCGGACCGTTTACAAGCGAGGCTATGTTTAAGATGCAGAAAGATGGGAAATTTGAAGATGGTTGGTTTGCCCGGAAAGTCGGTACAGATTCATTTTATAGCCTAAGCAGACTTGATTTTGAATTGTATATGTAAAATAATTCTTTGAACTGGTTTATTGTAAAGATTCTGTTGTTTTTTAGTTGAGACGCTTTTATTTTCTTCCCCATTTTAGGTAACATGGAGATCACTACTGGGCTTTCATTCTTTAATGTTCATTTTTTTCTGAGATCTTCACTAGATTGTTGTGCTCTTTGAGTGGGCATTCACATTTTTTGTTGATTTCTTGACCTTTATAGTTTATTATGTCTGCAGTTGCACAGGGAATGTTAGCTCAGTTTTTTTCCTCGTAATTGCACTTTTTATGCGAATGTATAGCTAACTTCTGTCTCTTGTACCCTACCTTGTTATATCATCCGGGATCTCTTTACCTTTATTTGTTTATTTATTTTTTCATTTTATTTTATTTTGTTTTATTTATTTATTTATTTATTTTTTTTTTTTTTTTTGAAAAATTCAAAAGGATATTCAATCTCATTTTGTTCAGTTTACCTTCAAATTATTTGTATTTTAATTTGTTATTTTTTTGGAAGTTGCTCGGTAATAAAACAGTTTACAGCTTTGATTTTTGTTCTGGCTTTGTTTACCACTTCACCAATTTATACTTTCTATATTCCAAAATCCTGAGATTTGAGTAGGAAGTTAAAAGAAAATGAATTCTTTAATGGAAGATAAGATGATTTGGTGGTGTTTGGATTGAGCGGGACGGTAGTTTACTAGCACTTGTTTAGTCGTTTATGTTCTCCTTACCTTTCATATGCTTTCCAGACAGATGGAGCTTACCGACGCTCAGGCAGGAGTGATATCGAAGGCAGTCGACCTTCTGAGGTTTGCAGTCCAGTGGGGGTTCGTGCCTATGACTTTGTACCTTGGTAAGTTCTGTTATGGAGGATTTGTGAGATTTTGTTGTACTTTTCAACGGACTGACGTGGAACTATAAAAGTTAATTTTACAGGCTTCAGACACGGTGCTGAACCAGGACCTAACGGTCAAGTTGTGCCGCTGACTATACTTAGCATATTATGGGGCTGAACGTTTTTTAAATCACAAAATACAAAGTCTCTTTGCTGGATGAAGACTTTGGCTTGTGGTTGACGGACCCTTCTTTTAACTCGACTTGCATTCGTCTGTTTTCTGAGATTTCAACTTGCGGAAGAAGGCAAGACGTTGCCTGGATATGTGTAACTTTGACAGTGCATAGGGTTTTTGCCTTTTATTATTTCCACGTTTTGTTTGAGTGAAATTAGGCTAATGAAATGGTTTGATGACTGCTGATTGTTGGTGCCTTTTTCTTTCCGTTAGGTGGCCGCTGGTATCATCCAGTGGTGTATGTTCAGGAATCGTTTGACAAACATAACTCTTCGTTAATTAAGGTTTGATGTAAAGAAAGGTAGGCCATGTGGATGGATTTTTTTGGTCGAAAAGCTGTGGTTTTTTCATGTTTTTTTTTT